CAGCTTGTACGTAATTGAATAAATAGAGTTGTTTAAACATTTGTTTAACAACAAGTAAATACACCAGTTCGAATATGGGATAATGTTGAGGAATAATATGTTGTTGGATCTGGACTTTGCTGACGATATTGCTATTGTTGATGAAATAGCAAAAATGCACAAAGTTGAAGAAAGAAGTCGAAAAGGTGGGTCAAAGATACAATGTGAAAAAAATGCAATACAATGTCAACTGAGAATGGAAAGCCTAATATAACATGTGATGGAGAGATCATAGAGCAAGGTATGAGTTCCACCTACCTTGGAAGCAAAATAAGGGGAGATGGAGATAGCCATGAAGAAGTGATCATCAGAATTGGTGAAGCTAATGCCACATTTGGAAGTCTCAGAACACTGCTTAACAGCAGAAGTATGAACATGAAAACGAGATTTAGTTTCTACAATTGTATTGTTGTGTCTGTCCTGCTGTATAGTTGTGAAACGTGGCAGACGTACAGAAAAGACGGGAAAAAAAGAAGTTAAATGCATTCTATATGAACAGCCTGTGTCGAACATTGAAATTATCATGGCAGGATAAAGTATCAAACATCGAGGTGCTGAAGTGTCAAAATAATGTGACCTGATGGATTTAGTCAGACAAAGAAGATTGAGATGTATGGGTCACATCATAAGAATGGATGAGACCATAATTGTGAAGCAAATGGTGAATTGGAAGGTGAAAGTAGAAAAAGAGGACGATCAAAGCTCATGTAGAAAAAATGTATTGAGAAAGACATCAGTGAAAGAACTATCACATGGGAAGAAATGGAAAAGATGGCGCTGGATGGAAGAAAGTATCGTCAATAGACGGCCCAATGTGTCAGGAGACACAGGAAGGATTAAATGCTAAGTGTATGTTAGAGAGAAGACAGCTAGCCAACATTGTCCACCACCAAATCGTGGGCTTACTCTTTAGTCAACGAATAGTGAGATTGATCTTATAATTATAACACCCCCACGGCTGTAAGGTCCAGAATGTTCGGTAATGCGGATTCGAAGACACGACCCGCAGATTTAGAGTTGAGCGCTCTAACCACCTTTATTTGTTGTTAAGCGCAAAGCTACACAATGGGCTATCTATGCTGTACCCACTACGAGTATCGAAGCCCGATGTTTTAGCGTTATAAGCATCCAAAGTTACCACTGAACCACAGGAGGGGGGGACTAATAGGAAACAACGTTTTTGAATAATATTTTATTTCTATTATTTTATAACAAATACATCATAATGACGTAATTTGTTCCTCGTTAGTTGAATTGATGACTATTTTGATTAAATTATTTCATGATTCTATAAAGTTTATAAATATTACCAATGTTCCAGACATTATTCAAACCAGGAGCACTTAATTTTGATGGCGATAATGGATATACTTGTTTCTAACATACTATTTGCTACTATTGGATGAAATGTTCTGATTTGTAATGTAAGATAAGATAATATTTGATACACATGGGAAATTTTAAGATGAATTTCCGTGTTAAAATGGGATTTTCAGTGAAAGTTAAAAAATAAGGGGCTCTTTAGCATAACATATCGAGAAGAGAACGAGAAGATTTACGAGTTTCATTAAAATGCCAGATAAATGTATTTTTTTATATTCTTTTACTTTAGACAGGCTGGATTACTATATTTCGTACATATGTTAAAATAATAAATATCATAGATTAAATTTTAGAAATTCAGGCTTAGCGTTAAACTCATACTCATTTGTTTTCGTGGGTAAAAAAAAAAAATATGTATTTTGATTTCTTCCTAGTGACATCGTCATTGGATGGCTCAGCGGTAAGCTTTATGAAAGCTACTTTAAAAAGTTTTTAGGAACATTTAATCTGAAATGCAATATAAAATAAGGTTGTCATATGTCCGCGATTTCCATGAGAAAAATAACCATAATTAAAAGAAAAAATTCGCCCTGAGATACTCTTACATTTTATTTCTTGTATTTGTTGGAAATAAACGTTCAGCAAGTATTATCATTAGCTCAGATAAAGCATTGTCATGTGACGACACTGGTGCAGTCTTTGAATATTAAAAGAACATTTTTTTATAATGACAAACATTCTAAAACAGGTACACTCATCAGAGAAATACAAGTGGCATTAATACAGCAAACTTCTGTGGAAACGCTTGCATCCAGAATTATGGTGGCTACATGTGTAAATTTTTCTACAAGTGTTCTCGCCTTTGGTTCACAAAATATGGTCACCTTTATGTAAAACGAGTGCGTAGGATGTTTTCTCATTAAAGTTTTAAAACCAAAATTAAGAGACAGCGAAAACAAAAGGTAAGGAAATAACAACATTCGAAAGTTGTTTGTTGTTTTCGGATAATTGCACATAACTGTTATCTGCGTTAGTCATCCCTAATTTTGAACTGATAGACTATTATGCTACTCTAATAGACTAGTTGGATTTGACCACCATTTTTATAACACGGCCGCGAACTGCGGGGCTCTTTGTTTTTCAGTAACGAGAAGCGAACCATGGATCTTCAAATTCACAGTCAGGTACAGTAACGACTAGGCCACATCCGGATTTCAATAAACATGTATCAAGTCGCTTGTTTGTTATATTTCTTTGATTACAGAGAGGTGATAAAGAGTTTGTTCTCAACAAACATGTATAAATAATGGCTGGAGACGGCTTGAATGGGTAATGAAGAAAACTTTAATATAAGTTTAACAGCAAATGTACAACGTTTCGACAAGGTTTTGTCATCATCAGGTACAAGTAATTTACACTGACACGGATATATATATATATACAGTATTGAACAAAGAAGTCACATGACGGGAACTGTTGCGAAACTTAGAAGAGGTATCTAGGCACCCCGGAGTGTTGGTTTAGAGTAGGGTTGTTTTGTTCAATTAAGATGGATTCCTTGATTTTTCGTTTGTTTATGTTGGGTTCTTTGTTTAAAATGACTGTGTTTTTAATAGATATACTATGGTTTCTCCCATGTAGAATTCTGGGCAGTTATTGCATGCTATTTTGTAAATGACGTTCGTATTGTGTGATTCTAAGTAATTTTTGTTTAGTAACGATTTTAATTTAGGGCTGGGTTTTTGGGTGAATTTGACATTGACAGGAATATTGTGTTTAATGGCTAGTTTTGTCCAAGTGTGGATAATTATTGAGCGGGTTTCAGGAACAAAAGGTAAAATGCAGTTTAATGTACTGTTGTTGGGTTTGTTAGTGTCAATTTTGTTTGTGAGTTGAGTTTTATTGTGGGGAATGTTGGAGAGCTTTACAACTACAGCTGGTGGGAATTTATTGGTCTGAGTAAAGGAATGCTTTAAGTGGTTAATTTCTTCATTTATGTAGTCGATGAACAGAGTCTTGTGG